TTTCTCTCTCTCTCTCTCCCCTCTCTAACTACCCCTTTCTTCCTCAAACACATACGTCTACACACAGACACGCATATATGTATGCACACACAAACACACACACACACACACACATACACACACACACACACACACACACATACACACACATGTACCAATGCAGTAGCACAGGCGTAGACATACTACAGTAACACACTACAATGTAGAGCGGGCATATAGCATGTCTCTTGTCACATCGAATTAAGGCAGAACATTGGCCCTGTAGGTCGACATTTACAAGCAGTGTTTTTGCTACAACAGGTGACAGTGTCCCGTCATAAATAAAGAAAATAAACAACAGTGACCCCTTTTATACATAGGTCGAAGCTGTTAACATTTATCTTTGAAAGTGTGATTAAAGAAAAAGTAAAAGCACAGATTGCAAGGTGGTTCCTATGCAACGCAAAAGCTAACTTTACTTCTGTAGTTCGCCTAAGACTATGTCTCCTCCTTATGCGTGTGGCGAGTCGCGTTGTGCTAGCGATTAGTCGCGAGGTGTGTATCCTTTTGCACCACATCACACATCGTGTCGACCGGCACTCCTTGACTAGATATTTTAACCAGTGGTGATGCTTTAAAACCTCCTCACTCCAAGTCTGTTGCGTGCGACAAGGTCTCTATCGATACATGGACCAATCGCTGGGTACAGTCGCGCGCGGCTAGACATTCATTATAATCTTACTATACTGATTTTAGAGCGGTAAGGACCACGCATAAGGTGATATGCTCAAGGGCATACTAATGGACTAAGTAAGCACACAAACTCTGACACTTTTGTAATAGTAGACACAACGCAGTATAGTGAAAGAAAAAAATACTATTGATATAACTAGGCCTATACAATAACAAGCTGTGCTCTAGGGTTGTACTTTAACGGCATTAGTAACACAGTTTCATTGTAATGCACTTTGCAGCGAGTCAACCAAATAGATTTATCATATAATGATACCTGACTTGAAACAGACTGTCCACGTTGTCAAAGCGACCTGGACAGTGCAGCAATGACCAAGTACAACTTGATTGTTCAGCTACAAACTAGCTTTCGTTTAGCAAGCTCGGAGAAAAAATGCGACCTTGATATTTGTAGTTTTCAACATCTTGATGTCAGTCATGATTTTAAAACAGAAGCAAAATAATGAATAAAGATTGCAAGGTAGACAAGTTACACGACAAAGCAGCCCCGGATCATGGGCCTTGCAATATCTGATTGTGAATGCCATCATGACTTTTATAATACATAGGAAGGCACACTGACACTGAACCCAACAACATCAAACCTGACACAACGCCTTGGATTGGGTGTTGGGGACACTGTGATCCTTGCGTTACTTTCCTAATTTTACCGCATGAGTACGTAGATACAGGTTTAACCACACCCTATCTACTGAAGTCAAGCTGAAGCAGGGGTTGATCTAATGTAAGTTCAATGTGAAAACCGGACTCCAGTATTTTAACCAGTAAAGCTATAACATTCCAAGGGACTCCAACTTTAGGCCTGTCAGCCTGAGAGACAGTTGACGCCCGCAGGGTGATATTCTTCGGCCTCTAAATGACGTCAATATTTTTGTTACTGTAGCCTAAGCTTGGTCAATGTTTGAGAGAATTGTCTCCTATCTTACCCGAGCTTTCCATAATGTTCAATCAGATAGTGTTCTTTCTTGTAACATAATATTATGTGAAAAGTTCTTTTCCATTATCAATTTCACCCAGCCAAAGTAAAACTCAAAGTTACTGGTACACATCTTCAAGCCCTACAGAGGGTCTCACTTGCATCCTGCTGCCCAAACGTACCCAAACTTTATCTCCAGCGGCCCCTGTGTAAATTGAGCTAGAAACCCTTCCGTAAACCATAGACGTTTGTTCCAAATCTCCATCGCTCACCAGAAAGCATGACGTCAAAGCTGTTAACAGTTGATTTCTACGTTAGCCAGATTTGTATTATTATTTACATCTCTTTCTTGAGTTCCTAGTTTCATGCACGGTGATGACCAGTATCCAGCCAAAAAATGTCACTGGAAGCGAAAAGAGATAGATAATACGATTGTTTCAACTATAATTAACAGAACAATACACAACACGACAACTTTGTTTATGTAACAACACGCCAGGACTGTACAATGAAGTAACGACAATGAACATGGAGTAACGAGATAAACACGAGATCATCGAATTGACTTTACAACAGAGACCTCTATCAGACGCAAAAACCACAGGCGTCTGTAGAGAAGTAGCTCGACTCCCAAGTAGAGGAAGTTATCATAGAGTAAACCCCTCTATCTGCTATGATGTGGCATCCCATTTAGCCAGTGCTGTGCATTTCTTGGCCCTGACGAGCAAGATTACAACATCACACCTCTTAGCAGATCTAAAACATGTCCATGGCTGCGTAAAATGCTTACTGTTATGATTCCTATAACATGGTCAACGAAGAATTGTCTCATCTTTGTACCCGCTGGACAAGTAATATAATCTATTATTCAAAGTTAAATTTGTATTATAGGTCCGTGAAACTCAAAATGTATCGTTCTCCCTAATGGAATAAGCTCAGATCTAGTCGTCGTTAATACATTCCACATCGCGGTTAATCACGGTGTTTTAGCATCTCTTCGATATTGTTTTGAAAAGAGAAACGTTTAACAATTAGAGAAAAAATACATTGGCTTTCTGATAGGAAATTCCTTGATGCCAACAACAGGAAGAGTGTGCATTCATTACGAATTGATCGACTGTCACTGAAACAATAATAGCAACATAATTAAACATTAAAACGTATACCACAAAAGAATTCTTTTAAGCCACTGCTGAGGCCCAAGCAATAACATATACATATTTTTAACATGCAATGGGTAAGTGTATTATCACTTTGATTAACGTATAAACCCTATCACGTTAATTCAGAGGAGGAACAAAACCGAAACCGATGCCCGTAGGGCCAAGAAGTGTACCATGTGAAAAGCTACGTATGCTTCCCAAATAATTCTGTTTGAAAAAGGCATTCTTGGGGATTCATACCGGGGTCATAGGCATCAAAGTCCATCATGAAACCATTTGGATTATCATTTTGCCATCAAAGGAGTGCCATGCCATAATATGTATGAACCTTTCGTCATTCACATTGGAAACACGACTTGTGATACAGACGTTGGTTCCACTTGTAAGTTTTCAAATTTCTTTTTTCGGATAACCGTTTCTGCTTAAAATTAAAAGTAATATGAACCGCTCTACTGCCAGAGCGTAGTGTATCTTGACAGCGGACTCGTGGTCTATAGTCAGTAGTACAGAGTGATGAAAGGTCGGATATAACTTTGAAGCTATATATAGCTATAGCTTGTCTTGGATCCAGACTCTCGTGACCAGCCGTGTGCTCACTGAGAAAACAACTGCCCTTTCCTTTCAAAAATGAGCCAACGTTGATTCTATCATAAGTCTGAACGTTGGACGAATCCTTGAGGTCTGTGTTAAAGAAATCATGACGTTTTCACGACGTTTTCCATCTATTTTACAAGAACAGTTTCGACCCGACAGTTGACGAAAGAATGTCGTGCAGAGCTCAGTGCTCAAACTTCGCAATTGGCAGTAAGACAGCTGCTCAGGCATCGCAATTTGCAGTAAGACAGCTGCTGTTGTTTTTGGGCAGTGCTCAAACTTCGCTGTTGGCCGTGAGGCAGCTGCTGTTGTTGCTGTTGAAGCCGGCGCTGGTTGGCCTGTTGTTGTTGCCGTTGCAGCTGCTGCTGAAGGACTTGAGTGAGTGGATGCTGTTGTCTCCCTTAGCGTGGTGGTTCTGGCCACGTTTACCGTACGCACTGTAGATCACATTGGTCCCAGCGGTGCTGGTACCTGCCGATGGAATAACGTGAGATGAGATGAGAGGGGATGAGTTGAGATGAGAAGGGATGAGATGAGGTGAGATGAGATGAGAGCTGAGCTGAGGTGAGATGAGATGAGATGAGGTGAGATGAGATAAGATTTGAAAACATGAACATTATTTATTACTAAAATCAGTGAGATATGATAAGGCAAGACAAAAGACGATGCAAACAGACAAAGGTAAAGGATACTATACGCTTAGACTAACAACAAGTACGGCAACATAAGATACAAGTAAATAATACTAGATTTATCAGGTGAGACTGGGATAGATGCGTCTGAACGAGCCGATGAGATGAGGTGAAATATAATATTAAGAGATGGGATGAGATATAGTGCAACGAAATGAGGTGAGGTATAATTTGATGAAATAAGGATCGATACTACAAGATGGGATTAAATGAATTGAAATCAAATAAAGTCAGAAACACTGAGATATAAATTTGTTAAAAAATCACAGAACAAACACAATTCACGGTATATTTGTAACCCACCTAGACAAATCCATTTTATTCTGTCAAATATATCACTTGTTTTCCACTGGGAGACCATCCACCCCCTCCAAACTCAAGAAATCTGCTCATTTTTTACAATCACTTGCTCAGACACAGACACAAACACAAACACACACACACACACACACACACACACACACATACACACACACATATACATCCACACCACACACACACACACACACACACACACACACACACACATACACATACACCCACATCCCCCCCCCAAACCCCCCCCCCCCCAACAAAAAACAGATGGAAATGCAATCATAAACATAACAATATAGTGATCCGGAGTGAGTAGTGACTAACCATCGTATCTAGTGTCGACAGAGTGAGCGTCACTGTGCATGTAGGTCTGTGACGTACGGTACATACTGCTGCCCGCCGGTCGTCGCTTTTGTCGGCTCCTGCAGCGTACTGCGTCGATGAACCGTCTACGGAAAGTGCTCATGCTGGTGAAGGGAAAGGAAGTAAGTAAGTTTATTCTGTGTTTAAAACCATTAGCCCACATCACATCATATAAAGCCCTCATTTGACAAATTCAGTTTCCGTAATGAATAAGAAGGGACATGAAGGAGTAGATTAAAGATGTTATGTAGATGAGCAGGGAAAAGAAAAGAAATATTAAGTGTATTTAAAAAAAAGACGACATGCAAAAAAGAACAATAAGATAAAATATAATTAAATAGATTGAACAATAATGAATTAGCAACAACAACAACAAAAAAGAACCCCCCCCCCCCAAAAAAAAAAATCCAAAAAATCAAAAACAAACAATAACGAATACTCATGGACATGAATTAATTAGTGAAACTGTAAAAGTGATATTGGTTCATAAAAGAAAAAAGAAACAACTACATAATGTTAAAAGATCTATGAAACTTAGAAAGAATAGACGAACAAACAATAATAGTATAGAAATATATATTAAGGTACGAGGTTATCTGTATTCTTCTGTACGAAGAAGAACTGATTTCTTCTTGATATCACTTGTGTGAGATTATAATACTCCCAGCTTAGAAATAAAATATAAACTGCATTTCACAACATTAAACATAATAATATGTACAACTAATGTAATAATATTATTAAACACACACACACACACACACACACACACACACACACACACACACACACACACACACACACACACACACACACACACACACACACATCATTACATGGGGAGTAAATCGGCAAGTATTTAACGATTTGCACGATTGTTTCCCTTTGAATAAATGAATAGTGGTTATTTATTTTATTATTATTGTTATCTTTTTCAGGAGACTCAAACTTGTTTCGTTAAGTATCAAACTCAGTTTTGTTCCGTTACAGAAAAGTGAAAAGTGGAAAAAGACTGGAACGTTTTTAGTTTTGTTTTAAAGCGAGCGTCATTATTACTTTTTAAAATTACTTTTTAAAATTCCATTTTTAGAATTGAAACAAAATAAAAGAAAAAGAAGTCGTCACTGGTAACTCTCGGACAGTCATTAATGAGATTTCATGTTCAGAGTTATGGAGTAATAGTAATAGTGTCGAGGAGGATTTCGGTAAAAATGTTTCTCTCCACAATTTGCTGTCTTGTATAATTTTAACTTATTCAAAGTAACCGAATTTCGCTATGGCTGTAATTTATAACAATATTGTTGAGGCAGTCAGTCTTCGTACCTGTCAGTTTTTATCTCATGAAATTAACGCACACATACTTATCATTTTGGTAGCTCTGTTTCTTTAAGAACGAACATACTAACTACACAAACTAATTATTATACTAACTAAAATTTTGCGTTGCACTGTCAGCAAAATTTACTTTTTCCAAGGTTCCTGTATTGTTCAAAAGAAAGGATGTGTTTCTTTTTTTTTGGGGGGGGTTAGTTTTTTTGTTTGTTCCCTTTGAGACATTTAAACAAAACGAACGTTCTTTGGCATTCACGAGAAGTTGTGAACAGACAGAACATTAAATAGAAAGAATAAAGCAGGACTTAAGAATATAGTAACGCATTATTGATCTCCTAAATAAGAACATGGGGGAAAAAGGGGAAGGGGAGGGGGGGGGGGGACTACAAGAGCAATATTACCATTATGAAGTAGCCTATATGATCATACTAGGAAATATATCATAGATCCCCGTCTGCTACTTTACCCCAGAGAGGCTAAAATTTAAAAGAAAAAAAAAAACTTCTGGTGTGCTTCGATTTTCCAGTGTGTCTGGCGTTAGCCAAAAAATTCTACCCCCCCCCCCACAACCCCCCAAAAGGGTGTCTAGACAAATGTATATATAAAAATGTATAACCTGTGTATAAATCAAGGGGCTAACACCAAACTTCAATATAGCAAAACAGCAAAACACAAACTCACTAATGAGTTTTGTCAACACGAAAGACGTCGATCGAGGAGAGAAAAGGGAGGTTTTGTTTGTTCGTTTGTTTGCGGGTGGGGGGTTGCTAAGCGTACGTTAATCAGGCAGACTGAAGAAGCAAACACTCTTTGCAAATAAGAAAGCTAAATTATTCTGCCTTGAAATCTCTTCTACACACCAGATTTCTAACAATAAGAAGGAAAGAAGGCGGAGAGAAGCCGTAACTCAATTTGAGACAGTAATTAGGACATCAGCGTCCTAAAATGTTCATTACTGTCATCTTCAGATATGTAGTTGGGAATCTATTTGTTCGCTTACATGCTCTTTGATATGGCTTATTGTTTAGGATTTATGGTTCGTTTCAGGTTTAAATTAAATTTTAAAAAAAATCTGTTCACTTTTTAAAGCATGTTATAGAATAATTATGACAGAATAAGCTTTGCCAATCAACTAACCCTTCTTTAAACACCCAGGTATGTTTCTTTAAAAAATGTAGTTGTTTTTAGGTCCACATCGATACAATTTGTAACATTTAGGACTCAGGCTTCAGATCCTGTCTGTCAGGGTCAACATGGGCTGAGAAGGATACGATATCCCAGCTGAAAGACCGAGACAGTTGTAAATTATACAAGTTTTCTCCTCACTAAGGAATAGAGCTCGAATATCGTGGGTGCGAGATCGAAGCGCCTAACGGCCACACACAAACGCTGGTCTAGTATTTTCCTGTGTATTGATGTATGGAGGGTGACAACGGTATTTCCTGCTTTTTGCCTGTCCCTGTTATACTCCGGTCCGTCTTTTTGTCCTGCTTTGTTTCCTGCTTCGAATGACAGTTGTTTTGTCAACGTGGTTTCTATACTAACAACTTTTTTTCCATATGCGTTTTGCGGAGTTGCTCTTTCTACTTTAGTCTTAACCTTCCAAAAGAAATGCCTAAATACACATACATGTATGCCGTCTTTTCATTAAAGTTATCTTTCGTTCTTTTATTGTTGTATAATAAGTCCATTTCGCTACCGCCTTTCTCTAAACGACAAAATGATTGTCATTGACCTCTTTGTCTCCTCATCCCTCAGTTTACTGAGGAACTTTGTTCACTACATACAGTTTTACATGAAGCAGTTTAGGTGACACACGAAGGGGCAAGTTCGAGAAAAGATGAAGAGAAGCTAACTTATTACGTAACTTAAAACGCTGAGAACAAACACGGGAATAATAATATGGTATTATAGACCAGTTCAAAACGGCGTCTACGATGCAGTTTTTGGGCACACTATTCCGGTTTTTGGGGTGTTTTTTCTGGGGG